GGGTGTCAACAACTGTGGTAATGGAGGAGAACCATGGACAGTCCTGGACACATGCACCTATCGCGATGAAACCAGGAAGGAGGAGCCTGACAGACACAAACAGCGTGGACACATGGATACTTCCTGCTGTAAGCTTCGGGAAATAGAAAACCCGTGAGCAGATCGGTGCGCATCGTAAGATTGAGTCAGAAATTAGAAGCCATCCATCAAAGCGAATACCAAGGAGCTGGTGTGGCGACTCATTCCTGTAATCCCACTGTCAGGAAGTTGAGGTAGGAGGATCACTGAGTTTTAGGCTAACTTGGGTGGTAGCAGTGATATTTGTTTCTAAAATTAAATGAATAAATTGTTGACTCCTAGAACAAGGCAGTTTTACTGCTGATTTCTGTTGAACAGAACAAAAACAGTGAAGACCACCTCTTTAGTTATTCTAGCAAATTCAAGAGGAAGGAATTCTTCTTGGTGTCTTCCACATGGTCGACATTAATATCAAAACCAGGCCAGGACACAGGAACGAAATGGCAGTGCAGTGGCTCAGTGGGTAGAGGTGCTGTGGATGGTCCTGATGGCCTGAGTTTGAACCTTGGATCCTGGAAGGGAGCAGGCAAGAACTGGCACCAAGAGCTGTGCTCTGGCCTCACATGTGCACCTGCATTCACACATGCATACATTAATACACAACATGATTAAAATACGACTCAAGGAAGAATAAAACTGTAGGATAGTATCTTTCAACCTAGATGCCCAGATTTCAACACAGCACTACCAGTTCCAGTCTATAGCATATTACAAAGGTTCACGCTATGATCAAGTGAAATTCATCACAGCAGTGACTCAGTATATGCAAATATATATATATATATATATATATATATATATATATATGAGATTAATACAGCAAAGAACAAAACTATAATTCTTTAGGTAAAAGTCAACATTAGTTCACGGTAGAAGCAGTGTTGGAGCCAGGTGGTGACATACACCTTTAATCCCAGCACTCAGGAGGCAAAGATAGGTGGATCCCTATGAGTTTGAGGCCAACCTGGTCTTCAGAGTGAGTTCTAGGACAGCCAGGGCTGCACAGAGAATCCCTGTCTCAAACAAACAAACAAAAAACTCAATGTTGCATATTAGCTGTAGAAGGAAGAAATGTACCCTGACGTGAGACAGCAGGCCACAGTTATCACTGTGCTCAGGACACGCTGAGAGCTTTCTAGGTCTGCAGCAAGTCAGAGGTGTCTGCTTTACCACTTTTATTGCTGGAGGCTTTAGAGTCATCTGACAAGCAAAAGAAGGAAGACATTCAAATCACCAAAGAGAAAGTCCCATTGTCACGCTTACTACAGGGCCTTCTGTAGAAAACCTTAGAGTGCTCTTCAGCCTTTTAGACCAAATTCACCCATGAAGCAGCATTGTAGGGTATGACAACACCTCCTCACTGTCTGCAGTCCTCAGTGCCTGGCGTGGCCTCAGAGTTGGAATCTGGGCAGAGGACCTGGGAGTCCCGCGTCGGGAAGGGACTGGTGAGGAGGTCTGAGATACTCCGAGCAGCCCAAAGATGTTATCTGTCTGTGAATCTTAATATACCCCCTCATATCAGTACCAACCTGCCAACTCATAAGAAGTTAATGAAGTAATATGTGTCAGTAAAGGAAGCTTTTTTCCCAGTGGCCTGCCGCCTGTCCTTCCCTAGTAGAGGAGTGGAGCTGGCCTTTGCCTGTAGTCACCAGAAACTGGTTGGGTTTTATGTGTGACGTTGTTAGAAAGAAAAAGCCTTTGATGGGCTACATGAAATTTACTAAACCGAAACCACTTTCTGTTTTTTGGAAAAGAAGCATATATCTGGAATTAGAAACAGTTTCAAAAAATACATAAATGTAACATGTCCTCAGTAGAGGTGGGTGCAGTGTGGATGAGCCCTGGTCCTCAGTAGACGTGGGTGCAGTGTGGATGAGCCCTGGTCCTCAGTAGACGTGGGTGCAGTGTGCATGAGCCCTGGTCCTCAGTAGAGGTGGGTGCAGTGTGCATGAGCCCCGCTAAAAGCAGAAGTCACAAAATAATCCCACACCAGTTCAGAATTATGAATAATAGAGGGTTATTTATTTAAGGGAAACTTACAAATCAGTGTCCCAGATAACAGTCCTGTGCTCGAACAGGAGCAGAATCTAGCAGCTGGAAGCGAGAGCCGGAAGCAAGAGAGCGAGAACATGCTTAACAGCTGCATTTATAACAGCTGCATTTATAACAGCTGCATTTATAACAGCTGCATTTATGATATAAGAGAGAATGCCCAAGTGGGCTGGAATCTAAAATGCTGCTGGCAGAAAGAGCGGAATGTGTTTCCACAGTTCCTCCCCCTTTGTTTAAATAAGAGAGTTTCAAACCCAATACAAAACTGTATACACTAGGAACAGATATGAAGTATAATTAGAATTACAACCAGCATAAACAATATTAAGCAAGGAACGTATGCTAAATGTTTTAATAAACATCCTATCCTAAGGAGTCTAAGTCTGTATAGGAAATGTCTTGACTCGATCATGAGGGCAGTAACTATGACTGTCTGATCTTCAACCCATGGAAAGCCTGAGAAGGGAGATAATATTACTTGAGCAGGCAGGATTTACAACCAAGCAGCTTCCAAAGTGAGCAATATATGACGGAGACAGTTAGCTACTTGTGCAATCACCTAAAGTCTCATTTGCAGCGTTGAAACAACCAACTTTGGCTAAGGCCTAGCGTAACCGATAGACAATTTTCAGAGGTAGGGAATTTTTCAGAACTGTCTTACCCTGTCTTGGCAAGATTTGGCAGTCTTTTTCCTTGGGTCCTGCTTATCCATGTCTGGATACCATGTCAGTGGTTGAGGCATGGACAGTTCCTTGCCCAAAGACCAATGGTGCCAAGAAGAAAATAAACTCCGAGTGGAGTGTCTTCGGTGCTCACCATTCTCTCGGGAATAGATTGATACTGTCAGGAGCAATCATGTCTCATGTCAAGAGAACCCTAAGTTACTAGGGAAGGCAGCACCCCGTCTTCCTTCTTCAGCTCAAACAGAAAACTGAAAGCTAAAATGTAGTAAGCCATGGAGGAGCAGTTACATTTGTAATTATTAAAATAAGTGGATTTTGATATGGTCATGTTTAAATGGTACAAACATGAACTCTGCACTAGAAGGAGATAATCAAAATAGAATGTGAATATGTTAAAGGAAGGAAAAGCCTAAAAGAAAAGCACAAGGAAGGCATTCTGTGTGGAGGAGTGATGTCAGATTAGCTATGCAAATAGCACAGGGACCTAGAGAATTAATACTGCAAAACTATTACTTAAAAAATATTCTAGAACATTTAATTCTGCCTACACATGCTGTCTTTAAGACCTTTGCTCTTCCAGTGGTGATCTGGATTTTGAGGAAACAGCTTTAAATATGCTAATATATACAGGCTCAGATTCAAAGGAACATTTTTGACAATTTAAATACATACATAGACACATGACTGGTTTGTGTGTGGCTCTTCTGTTGGGGTTGTGGTGGGGCCATGAGACAGCCTCTCTGGAGTCCGGTGTCCATGAACTCATCACAGTTTTCCTGTCCCTGTCTCCCAAGAGCTGGAGTCGTAGCTGTGGGTCACCGTATCTGGTCACGGTGTTGTCACAGAGCTGTTAAAAGTGGGGCTGCAGTTCCCCAATATTTAAAACAAGTGCATGTCGTGAAGCAGAAGAGGAATCCTTCATATCTGCTTTAGAGTTAACACCTCTTTCTCTCTAAGGTGTGAGCGTTACCTCTCTCCATGTTTAGCTCTTTGTACTTCACATTATATGGCTACAGGGGTTGTTTTTGTGTTGTTTTTGGTGCTGCTCGCGGATACTCCAAACTCCTTTTACAGGGCTGAGTCTTGCTGAGTTTCTGTTCCACATCTGCCAATATTCATGTGCAAGAGATTTTTTTTTTTCTTGAAAATTTAACAAAATTTCCGGGTTGTAGGATTTCATCAAATTTACCTGAAATTCTCAAACTGATAAAGTAATTATGCCTGTTTTGCCAGTGAGAGATTTCTTTCTTTGTATACTTTTGGCAGTCTTGAGAATCAGCTGTCTTGAGGTTTTTGTTTTTAGGTTTCTGACCCTGAAGGTGGAGCACCTTTTCATGTGGCTGCACTTTAATTTCTTTCACTTCCTCTTGTGGTGTTCATGTTTTGCCCAATTAAAAATAGAAGTTCAGTTTTTAAAGCAGTTACTTATATTTTGTGGTCATATGCTTCTTTTCCGCCCTCCTCAGAGATGTAGCTTAATCAGCATTATCAGTACGGTATTAGTCAAGGTCTCCTATGTCAGGAATTCCGCCAGAACCCCATTCATAGGCACGTGTGCTCCATCGAGCTGTGCACTTCAGTTGGATAATTAGTCGTGGAGCTTCCTTGGCTGTAGTGACCTATAGTGAAAAAGGAGCTGACAACCTCTTACAGCTCTTTGGAGATTTATAAAGTTTTACTGTTATTATGATCATCTTTTAAATGTGACCATTTAATGTTAGTCTTTAAGTTACCTCTGTAGTGCTGTTTGAAATGAACATTTTTATTTTGAATCTTCTGGTTTGCTTGGGCTGGTATCTTCTTCCTCCTTTTTTTGGTAGTAATGGTAGTGTTGGTGGTTGAGTGTGGTGGTTATGATGGTGGTGGTGGTAGGGTGGTGGTGGTGTCAGTTCAGAGGACTGACTGTCCAGATCTTCCCACGCCCCGATGAATGCTGTCAGATGGACGCTAATTACCTTGTGAACTTAAGACTCAGTCCTGCCCCGAGTGCTGGGCGATGTGCAGTGATCAGCTCCAGGAAGGTGGGCAGGGGCGGGAGTATGGTGGATTCTCTCCTTCCTACTGGGGTTTGGGAGGAGACAAACGGAAGATGACAGGCGGATTCTGCCTTTTCATACTGAAATGCAGTCTGTGGTAGTCCTTGGCTTGATAGCAGGAGCCCTGCTCACCACCGTGCCTCTCTTTTAGGTCTTTCGGCAGCCCAGCGGAAGTTTGCTCATTCGCTCCGAGACTTCAAGTTCGAGTTCATTGGGGACGCAGAGACGGATGATGAGCGGTGCATAGGTGAGGAAGGCGGGAGGTCTGGTTTGCTTTCCTCGGCCGCGCCCAGCACCAACTCACGCCTTTCTCCTTACAGATGCTTCCTTGCGGGAATTTTCCAACTTTCTGAAGAATCTGGAAGAACAGAGAGAGATCATGGTGAGTGTCAAGGATGTAAATGTATCGATTAACAGTTTCCGGGAGGGGGCAGTCTGGGCTGTGGAGCTGGGCTGGACAAAAGTTTTGATGCGTTTCATGCTTTGGAGTGGGGTTTTCTGAGCTCTTTTCTGGATTCCTGATGGTTTTGACAGTAATGAGTTCTGAGGCGAGGTTCTGGACGTCTTGGCTGTGTCTTCCATCTTCACCTGTGAAGTCAAAGGTTGATGCTGGTTTGTGCTTTGTTAGCAGAGCCTTGATTTACATAGCTGTCAGGCAGAGGCAGAATATACCTTAAAGCAAAAGGCAGACGTGCCTGCTTGGATGTAGAGGGAGCTGAAGGATGATTTTGAGCTCTAGCTCTGGATTTCTAGTCTGGATTTGCAGTACGCCTACCACTGGGTTTCCATATGTTCTTCTCACCCCCCCCCCTTTGAAATAATTTTGAAATAATTAGAACTTTGAAATAATTAGAACTTGCAGAGGATACTAGGTTCAGTGTCCACACAAAATAATAAAACAAAACACTGTTCTTGGTTCTTCAGATTAACGCTGCCTAGAATGTGCTGCTATGAGGGAGCTCAGACAGCATTGCTGGGGCTGAACACAGTGACTGTGTGCTGGGGTCACTCTGGGCTACAGGGGCTGCCCGAGATCACATGGTGAAGTGAAGTACAGGGTGGAGTGCTGAGCCTCCAGCCTGCCGCAGAGCCGCTGCCCTCATGCTCTCACTACCCAGGTGGCTGCTGGGTTTCTATCAGGTGCATTTGCTAGGGGCAAAACCCAAGCACTGGAATTCATTTTGATTTTAAGACTAACACAGACTTGTTTTCTAAAATCTTGTAATTTGCATTACACCCTACTTTCTGAGAAATTTCCTACATGTAGGCCAGGCAGTGGTGAGGCATGCCTTTAAACCCAGCACTTGGGAGGCAGAGGCAGGCGGAACAGCCTGGTCTATAGAGTGAGTTCCAGGACAGCCAGGCTACGCAGAGAAACCCTGTCCCATGGAGGAATCTGGGAAGATGTCTCACTGGTAAAGTGCTTGCCACACAAGTGGAGCGATTCAAGTTAGGATTCCCAGCACCATATAGGAAGGTGGGGGTACAGCAGTGTGCTCATGTGACCTTAGTGCCAGAGAGGAGACAGGAGGATCCCTGGGCTGCAAGTTAGTGAGTGACTGAATTGGTGAGCTGCAGGTTCAGTGAGACCCGCCCTCAAAATGAAGGGGAGGAAGTAATTGAGAAAGACACCTGCTGTCAACCTTTAGTCCACGTACATATCTATGTAAACACATGTATCTGCAAACAGATGTGTACACATGTGAACATGTATATATAACACACCTAGAATTTCCTGGTATACATGTGAAGGTAGTGTGATCTCATAGGCTTTTCCTGACACACACTGGTAAGTTCAATTGGTGCTTATGTAATGTTATTTCTCAGCTGTTTAGTAAAGACTAAATGTGACATTAGATCAAAATAGTGCCATGATATCTCCTTTCTGTACAATGTGTGAAGTCGAGGCATACATGGGGTGGACTGGTAATTTAATGTCTTGGTTTATATTGCATAAGAGGTGTGTGCGTGCGTGTGTGTATGCGTGCATATGTGTGCACTTTCTTTGACATTTATGTCAAAGTTTCTGCACCTGATAAGCCTCTTCACCAACGCAATAATCCAAATCAGAACAAATCAAACCAAATTAGAAAAAGCCCAGGTTTAATGGATACCAACGCTCCTGGATGGCTTTCCAGCCCCCCAGAGAGGAACCGGGGAAGGAAGACAGGAAAACCTTATTTTTGTTCTCTGGGAGGAGGCAGTTTAAATACTCTGACGAAGTGGTATTGAGCATCTCTGGGGAGGGGTCATCGTTTGGTGGGCTTTCTCAGGGGTGGAGTCTGTACTGGGGCAACTCCCAGGGAAGGGAGCTTGGTATGGAATTTCCAGGCAAACATTCCAGACTCTTTAACTATATAGATGCCAGTTCCTGGGGTGAAGCCTTAACCCAACATTCAGTCATTCTTTTCTGGATTCCCGAGCATGTGATCAGCCTTTATTGATCATTTATGTTGTTCTTATTGGTTGGAATCTGAGGTCGTGGAGCCAGCATTGCAGCATGCCTGCATCCAGTTGTATATGCCAGCAAGCGAGGTGATGTGTAGACATATAAGGTGCTGTCAGGCGTGAAGAGTGCTGCAGTTCACATCAGAAATGGGTCAGGAGCTGTGGGTGAGCCGGGCAGAGAGGATGCTGGTGGTCAAGTGATGAGGGCCTTTTTTGGTAGAGGACTGAACTGTGCAGGAAGGGGGTTCTCAGCAGAGAAATACCGTGTGACCATTTTCTGCCTTGATGGTCGTTTTCTGTCATAGGTTTCTTGGAGTGAATTGATAAGGTCAAGAAACGGGAATGTGTTCTTAGACTGGGATGTAGATAGTGCGGTTCATAGAGATGCTGTTAGCTGAGTGCTGATTTAATCCCAGCTGACTGACTGTGTCTGAAGTAAGATGTGCCTCAGACATAAGAAGGTTGGGTTCTTGGGGCAGGACAAATATGAGAGTAGGATTGTGTCTGTGGGAGGCTTTGAACCCCTGAGAGGAGAATGGTACAGCATGCTAAAACTGACATGTGGGTCGGGTGCTGCGTTGCACACCTTATTCCCAGAACTTGGGAGGCAGAGGCTGGTGGATCTCTGTGATTTTGAGGTCAGCCTGGCCGATGGAGCGAGTTCTAGGACGACCAGGGCTACACAGAGAAACCCTGTTTTGAAAAACCAAACCAAAACCCACAAAAGTGATTTGTGGGAACAGAAATCCTTGCTGGAGAGGAAGCAGTGGGGAACAGCCGCAGGCACCCCGAAGTTGTGAACATGATACTCCAGTTTAGTTTGGGAAATTGAAAGCGTTACAAGAATACAGTGTTAAATTACATGTTCTCAGCACCCAGTGCCACATCTGATCCTGTTTCTCCAGTATTCCTAATTCCCCTGCTGTCATTTTGACTGAAAGCTCAGCCTTGAGTCATCTCATGTACAGATGCATACTGTTTCAAGTACAGCTACCTCAGGGCCTATCTGAGGACACGCCACTTTAATAACAATAAGAACAGAACACCTTTAATCCAGAAAACAGCTCAGTCTCAGATTCTTCTGTGTCTCTCTGCAGCGTCATTCAAATGAAGGGCACTTGATGGTAAATGTCCATGTCATTTGTTTGTAGGTTTTTAGCTTTGCCCTTGACCAGAATTTGTAATTTATCTATTTTTGGAAGGGTGTAGGAGGGCCCACTTGTATGTCCTGTCTGTTTTGCTAGTTTTGTCACGAAATATCACACAGAAACTGTATGGCCCATTAGCTCTAGCTTCTTATTGGCTAACTCTTACATCGTAATTTAACCCATTTCTATTAATCTGTGTATCACCACATGGCAGTGGCTCACCAGTAAAGATTCCGCATGTGGCTCCTTGACTCTGCCCTGCTTTCTCCCAGCATTCCGTCCAGTCCTCCCCGCCTACCTAAGTTCTGCCCTATCAACAGGCCAAGGCGGTTTCTTTATTCATTAATGGTAATCACAGCACACAGAGGGGACTCCCACAGCAGAAGGAGAACAAGGTCTCCTGTGTAGCCTAGTTCTCAAGCTTGTAGCCACCTACTTTTGCCTCTTGAGTGCTGGGGGTAGGCATGCACTGTTTCATGCAGCCTCCTGAGGCTAGGGGTAGGCATGCAGCGTTGCATGCATCCCCTGAGTGCTAGAAGGTGGGCATGCACCATCACATACACCTCCTGATTGTTGGGGGTAAGCATGCTGGGGGTAAGCAATCCCTTGAGTGCTAGGGGTAAGCAATCCCTTGAGTGCTAGGGGTAGGCATGCACTGTTGCATGCACTTCCTGAGTGCTGGGGGTAGGCATGCACTGTCACTTGCAGCCTCTGAGTGCTAGGGGTAGGCATGCACCGTCACATGCAGCTCCTGAGTGCTGGGGGTAGTCATGCACCATCACATGCAGCTCCTGAGTGCTGGGGTAGGCATGATCCATTGCAGCCCCCTGAGTGCTGGGGGTATATCACGTCTCCTGAAGCATGAAAACTGGGTGGAGTCACCATGGCTGCCTTTTGAAAGCTTACGAAGAAACAGTCGTGACATTGGAGTACAGGACAGCTGTAAACTTTGAATAAGAAACTTTCTGAAGAAGAGCTGGTAATTACAACTTAATTAAAATAGACAAAGTATGAAGTGTGACTGGCAGGGAGAAGGACAGGGAAGCTGTGCGGAGCTGGGAGTCGCGGGCCAGGCCAAGGCACAAGGAGGTCTCTAGTGCTCTCCTTAGTTCCTTTCTTCTTTGTACAACAGCAAGGAGGGGCTTGAGCGACTAGGCTGAATCCAGGTGCATTCTGGGAACTCAGAACAAAATACAGTCAACAGGCCCCTTAAAATGAGTGTAAGCTGGCAGCCTGCTAAAAACCATGGGTTAGGAAAGGAAAGCAGAATGAGACAGCTGAAATAGTTTCTGAGAAGGTTGGTGTAATTTTAGTGATCATTAAAACTTCAAAATTAATCAGTATTTTTCCATAGTCTGAAACTAACAGTGAAGCATGATCATTGGGTATTCATAGTTAAGACTTAATCAGTTGAAGGGAAAAATAAGTTAAAATATGTAGAAGACCAAGTCCAATGCCAGATGTAAGATTTTATTTTATTATTATGTTTTTATTTTATTTCTAACTGAATATGTGTTCTGTAGGGTTTTGGGTTTTAAAGGTAAATTCATCTGTCTGGAAGTGCAGCAGTCGGTCTAGACTTTCCATCCGATGAAGCTCACAGCATTATGTTTATGTGCCTAGTCTGTACCTAGGTGGGGCCGTATTTAGTTCAGCAAATCCCACTGTGTGCTTACTGCTTGCCACAGTTCTTTCTCCTGAGTAGGTGGATGTCCACTGGGGGAATGGTCAGAGGCACAGGAATTCTGGGAGGTCTGCAGAGGTGGGGGTGAGCCCAGTGGAAATA